ATTAAGGCAGAAAAAATAAAATAAATAATTAAAAAATAAAATAGTAAAAAAAGGATACCTTAATATATAACTTGATTTTAGAATTCAATAAAGTTATCATATCTCATTGTGTACAGTATTTTAACCAAAATAAAGTATGAACATTATATTTTAAATCCATATTTCAGAGAATGCATGTACACAATACTACACATCATTCAAAATTGACCTTAACTTCAAAACAAAGTTCATTTGCAGACACAGGCAGTACAGTAATTAATCTAAATGTGACAGATATAGATAATGCTTTGGATTTTCTTCATGTGGAAGGTTAATTAATCCCAAAGGACAAATATTACACAGCCTTCCAAGTATACAATGGTAACATATGCAGCAGTTATCTCTCTTTGCCCATTCATTCTTATGCATAGTTAAGGAATCTACCCCACCACCCCAGCTCCAAACCGGAAGACGTAGAGAACCAAACTTAGCATCAAAATATGTATTTCTGCCTACTGAACTATCATACCAAATTTGAACTTAATTGGGCAACCACACAAAAAGTTGTCCATTCATTTTTATGCATAGTTAAGGAATCTACCCCACCACCCCAGCTCCAAACCAGAGGACATAGAGAACCAAACTTAGCATCAAAATATGTATTTCTGCCTACTAAACTACCCTACCAAATTTGAAATTGATTGGGCAACAATAAAAAAAGTTATTAGAAAAAAACAGAAAATTTGTGGACGGAAGAGTGACAGACGGACAGACAGACACGGACGGACGGACGGACAGACAGAGTGTTTACTATAGGGCACCCGCAAATCCTTGCGGGGCCCTAATTACACCTGGTTTTTTTTTTAGCAGGCCTACTAAAATTTGCCAGTACCTAGGTACTTATATCACCCATCTGAAAAAAGGATTTTATTTGTACCAGCCAGGAGCTCGTTCCAACAAAAAAAATTAAAGAAAAATTTGAGGGCATATTTTTAATTAAGATATGGCTTTCAAAAGGTACCTCCTATTTCAGAAAGAGTACCACCTATTTCTAATGTCTTTTAAAGCCCTAGAATCCAAAATTAAGGATACTTGAACACAAAATAAAATTTTGATGCTATAAATTAAGATTTCTTTAGCGATTAGAAATGTGACTTTTTGACTGTTTCCAACTTTCTATATAACTCTATAAAACCAATCTAAATGGTTAAGCACGTCTTATAAAATTCGTCAATTTGATGATCTGTTACCTACTCCAGAATGCTAGAGATTCACAGCGAGATACTTCTGACTTGTCACTGTGTAACGAATCAAGCACAGGGACGTTAACCAAGGCTCTTAATTGTTCAATGTTGTAGTTTGGAGAATATCAGACACCTCAGCCCAACAACACCTCGGCCCAATGACACCTCAGCCCAAGACACCTCGGCTCACTGACATCTCGGCCCAATAACAGACAGGTCGGCCAATCTATAGTTTTATATGACACCTCGCCCAAACAGAATTTCATTTCAACATATTTTAATTTTTAAATCTCTTACGTCCGGGGCCTATACTCCCTGCTTATGTAGAGATCTATGTGAGAGGATCAACGGATCTGATTTTAATTAGATTGAAAAAATAATATTTGACCTTAGAAATACCTTCCATTTTTCTAAAATTAAGAAAATTCAAAATCAATCAAATGGGATTAAGCTACGCTATTGGAGCGGGTATGGAAGGGAATTACCGCCAAAAGTCTATGTATCTTGCTTTTATTCTTATTCTGCCTACTTCTTTATGCTTTGTTATTATTGTAATTATATGTCACTTTATTCTTTTCATATTCGTCTTTATTACATTTCACTTTGACTTTTATCCTTCTTCATTTTTCCCTTACTTCTATGTTGCTTTATTTTTGTAAATTCATTTTACTTTCTTTTAAATTGGTACAGTTTCTGAAATGATTATCTCTATTACGAACGTGAATTCAATCACACAAAGAATGAAGCATATTCAATAAAGACGAATACAGTTGTCAAAATTTAGTGCCGCATTATAACGCTAGGTGGCAGGGGTGTTCGGTACGAGTGTTGGTAAAACTAGGTAAGCAAACCCGGGCCGGGGTTATTCGAGATTTTTCAATTTTCTGCCTTAATACTTTATCAATCGAACTTCTGAAGACCGGATCTGATCACCCGATCCAATGTTTAAATATTTATTTTCTCTAGGCACAAAGGAATAGCGGCCTCTTTTTTCAGACACAACTTTATATACTTTACTGAATATGTTCATTGAAAGGTCGACCCACTTTTTGTAAGGGTAAGGGTCAAATAAGGTTAATGTAGTATAGTAGGGAGAAAATTTAAATTTGATACAGTATACTATAGAAAAAGTTGAATCTAACCCAAAACCCACCCCGCCCCTGAAATAGGATTTCATTGGCGTCGGAAGCAATGTGAAAGTTGGGGGGGGGCAAAGTGTAATAAATATTTTTTATACCTTAAAAAAAAAAAACTTGACAAAAAAAAAAAAAGAAATGTCCACTGTCCAAACACGAAAATCCTATTTCGTGGTGGTGGTGGTGGGGGTGGGGGTGGGTGGGTGTTCCTACATGTACTTCAGTGTCAATTTCTTTTCAAAACAGTGGGGGGGGGGGGCTAAACCTACGCAGCAATGTTCAATGTCTATACTAAGTCTATCTTTGGAAAGAAAAGTGGGGGCTAATCCCCCCCCACCCCGGTTCCGACGCCGATGGAATTATTTTGAAGTAGGGACAATTTCCTTGTTTTTAATTTTTTTGGGTTTTTTTTTTTTTTTGCTTGTAAATTTTTTTTAAGATGGGTAGCTTGAATTTTCAAAAACGATTATAAGTCACTGTTCTCTCGCCTGAAAAATATAACTCTATTAAAGTTATTTGTTGGATAATTGAATTCCAGTTAAATTGACATAAAAATGTTAAATATTTTTATTCTAGTTACCCGTTATAAATTGAGTTGTTTTTCAGGACCTTCTACTGAACTGAACTTTATTTCACGACAGATAGTAACTGCTCATGCGTGTGATTCTATGGACGGGGCTTTGCAAGGGAGTGAGGAGTTTTATGGGTAGGCGAAGTCGGAACCAGGCTACACCCCAGTCATACTAAAAACTCCCCAGTCTTTTTTCTGCTATAATATTTTATATTGAAGTAGCACTTTTCAATTACAGTAAGAAAAGAAATATCTTTAGTACGCACCGTATTTTACATCAGCCAGGAGAGCTAAAAAAAAACATCTTAAAACTTGAAAATTCTATTTGAGGGGGGGGGGGGGGGGGTCGTCAACCTTTTTAAATACCTAAATTTACTCATATGCCACTAAGTACATGACTTTTATTATTTAATATATAAATTGACTATTAGTACTGCAACAAAAAGTGTAAGGGATGGGGGCAACAAGCCTTTCGCTGAACTTTTCCATTAGTAGAAAGTCTGTTATGTTTAGGAAAATGTTTCGTGGCTACCCTCCCCTCTACCGGTGAAACTTACCCCATATGAGGTCGTACAGACGGAAGTCAGTATATTTATTGAGACTTGGGGGAGTGGGGGTGATAATGATTGTACCTTGTATAACGTCCCTTTATATCGAGAATTTTTAACTCAAATGGAGAAGCCACCTCATGCCGGTGGAGAGCTGCAAATTTGTCCTATATACTCGGCACTTATAGCCATTGAGTAGTGAGGGATCTTTTTTCGTGCCAGCACCTACTGCGACACGGGACCTCGGATAATACGGTCTAGATCTCATCCGGAGGACCGAACTCCACGTCCCATAGTGGTATTGACCGACTCCTTACTACTGTGTTTCGTGACTAGAGCAGACGCCGTAACCACAATGCCACGCGGGAGACTGCACCTTGGGGATGGGGTGGAGAGGGGCTGCATCCAGGGGGGGGGGGGGGGCGAAAAAGGAAGTCATTATCCATTTGTACTCGTGAAGATTATCTATGTTTAAAAAAATTGTTAACATGTTTTAATTAATAACCACCATTAAAATACGGTATAATTTAAACATCCATTCATACAGGACGGATAAGTTTTCTTCAAAAACTGAAAACTTTAGTATATAAACATTGTTTTACCATTAAAAAAACTATTCGGGGGAGGGGTTGCTATGAAGGGGGACGAATTGCTTTATACAGCGAGATTTCCCACAGAAGACTAGCTATATATTGAAACTTCCCCGGGGGAAGTTTCACTGTATAGTCTTCCGAAGGAAGCACCACTATGTAGTCAGTCTTCCAGGGGAAATCTTACCATCTTCCGAGGGAATGTCATTATCGGGTACACACCTGAAGTTATAACAAACATCATACGAAAATTTAAGTTCGATTGATAAATTATTAAGGCAGAAAATTGAAAAAAAAAAACCTCGAATAACCCCGACCCTGGTTTGCTTACCTAGTTTTACCAACACTCGTACCGAACACCCATGCCACCTAGCGTTATAATGCGGCACTAAATTTTGACAACTGTATTCGTCTTCATTGAATATGCTTCATTCTTTGTGTGATTGAATTCACGTTCGTAATAGAGATAATCATTTCAGAAACTGTACCAATTTAAAAGAAAGTAAAATGAATTTACAAGAATAAAGCAACATAGAAGTAAGGGGAAAATGAAGAAGGATAAAAGTCAAAGTGAAATGTAATAAAGACGAATATGAAAACAATAAAGTGACATATAATTACAACAATAACAAAGCATAAAGAAGTAGGCAGAATAAGAATAAAAGCAAGATACATAGACTTTTGGCGGTAATTCCCTTCCATAAGCGGGAGAGTGGGTTAATGAGATGAGAAAGGAACGTCTTCATCACAAGTTCAGTAAAAACATGACATAACTGTATAAAATAATATAAAATTGGAGTAAATTACTAAAAATCACCTAATCTCAGCATCTCATGTCAGATCTGCCTCTGTCATACCTTTGAACTCTGGCGGGAAATGTGTCACTAGAGACGTTCCGAGTGTATGTGTTCTCGGTCATTTCCGTTCCGGAAATCGGGATTGTTTTGGTCACATGATTTCCCAATATGGTGGGAACTCTACTTTCACTTTAGTCAGGAAAATGTAAGAAAACAATCATGTCAAGCGACAATAACGTCGAAGAATCGACGGAATACTCGAAGTATGGAATCAAGGATGCCCCCAAGCCAGCGATCGCCACTCCTCTGGGTCAGGTAAATGAAATCTAGACAGGTAGATTAATTAATTACGATGATCTAAAGGTAGGAGTGTTTACCTCGTCACAAGGCCTCTGAATCAGTTGTAAACACGTGATAGGAAAGATCATAAAGATGTACAATGTTTAGACTTTAGTTATTTTGTCCAACATTAAAAAAATGAACTGGAAATACAAAAACTGACTGATTATGACCGGTTACTATAGTATATAATCGATAATCAAACAAGGAACTGGGTTGCAGATGTCACAGGAGTCGGCAGTTTTATCAATAAACTAGAAATAAAGTTAAAAATAGGTTTTTAATGATTTTGACTTTATTTCTAGTTTATTGATAAAACTGCCGACTCTTGTGACATAAGTACGTATACACCTTGAAGAGAATGTTCAGTCAGACTTGTACGTCAGTAACGTCACATACAAACTGGTTTAGAAGACATTAAGCAAACTGCATATTTTCTTATTTCCTTGGTAAAAGATTTATATTTGGAGTAATAATATTTTTTTTTAAAAAGTATGAATTAAAACACACTTTCAGCGAAGTACAAGGGACAAACCATTTTGCTTTATTGTATTAATTATGAAGTCATGGGGAATGAAATTCACTTTGTAAGTGTCAGTTCGTGTTTGCTATATATATAACTGTGTTTTATTGTACATACATATAGCATATTATGTGCAGTTGCCCACGTGGCACAGTGGTTAGACCGTCTGCTCTAGAGTCGCAAAGTAAGGATTTGATCCTTAATTACGTCAGTGGTTCGAATCCCACTGTGGGATTTGGAGACCAGTTCTTCGGAAGAGACTGTATAAGCAGATGTCATGTGTCGCTGTAGGTGCTGGCACAGAAAAGATCCCTCCCTGCTCAGTAGTGCTTAGTGCTGAGTATAGGAGAAAATTTGCAGCTCTCCACCCACAGGCGAAATTCACTTCCCAATTTTTTGAGAAGTGAAAAATTTCTCGAGAGAATTTAAACAATATACAATCAATCAATCATATTATGTGCAATAGCCAGTAATGTTTTTGAACATAAATGCATCTAAATTCCATGGATTTATGGTTATTATATAGCTGTTACAGTAATGATTAAAGAAAATATTATCTCAGCAGATGATACATTTCATTTACTGTGAGTTTGATAATTCTTGTGTAACCTCCTTAATATAAATCCTCCATCAAGCATTTATCATTTGCCATGACAAATAAATAAATGATTATCTTATTTTTAATTAGACCAGAACCTGCGCTGGATTGGACGCCAAGGAGACTGTATTCCTGGTGGTCAGTTTTGTAAATATCGTGACAGCACTGGGACTGACTCTCTATCGCTTCATCACCGTCATTGACGAGGGCAAATCGGACAGCTCTGATTTTACATTCGCACTGATTCTCATAATAAATGGAGGTAATATATATTGTTAAAGACTTGGTCTGTCACAACAAGTACCTGTTCTTTATTATGATATAGATTTTTAGCTGTGTGAGACATTAACTAGCACCTGTCAAGGATGATGATCTGTAGTCTGTCATGTGTCACTGTGAGCTTGTAAGAAGTCACATGTTAATGCTTATCCAGCTTTGACATGTTTTAATTTGTACTTCGATTCATCTTAATCACTGATACAACATAGGTTTCTGTTCAGGGAATACATGCATGTACACTGCTTTTAATTGGCACTTTGCATTCTCAAGTGAAGAGAAAATAATTTATTATGCTTTAAATGTTTTAGAGTTAAATGTGTATACTGCACTATTCTGATCAGGAAGTTAAAAAGTATTTTTGTCATTCTTAAAAGTGTATATAATGAAAACAATATAATTTTCAAGTCCAGTACAGATAAAAATCAAATAAAAAATTCAAGCCCCGATGTTCATATGCACCCATTTACTGACCCGGTACATGTACCATTGTAAATTTTACATGTTACATACTCATGGTCTGAAAATCTTGTATGCTATAGCAAACTCTTTGTAAATAAGTACATATACTTATTATTTTTTTTTTTGGGGGGGGGGGGGGATTCTTGTAAGACTGAGGTCAATATATTTTATTTATAATTTCCTAATTTTTTTATTCTCCTTATACAGTAAAATAACATATTTTCACGGGATCAAATTTTTGAGGTTTGAGAAAGAAATATTGTTTTGTATGGATTTGATTTTTAGGTTGGAGAAGTGTCAAGTAATTATAATTTCTTAAGGTCACCCGCGTGGCGCAGTGGTTAGAGCATTTGCTCTATAGTCACGAAGTAAGGAGTCAATCCTTACGTCGCGGGTCGGAATCCCACTGTGGGACGTGGAGAACGGTCCTTCGGATGAGACCGTATAAACTGTTGTCCCATGTTGCAGTAGGTGCTGGCACGAAAAAGACCCCTCGCTGCTCAATGGTCCTAAGTGCCGAGCATAGGACAAAATTTGCAGCTCTCCACCGGCAAAGGGATGGTGTCTTCATATGCGTGAAAAATTTTTAACCGATATATTAAACAATATGGCAATTGCAATCAATCAATATGCATATGACATTTCCCAAGTATATTTTGAGGTCAGGTCATGAATTGGAAGGTCTCTCCATACCCAGTAAACAAAATGAAAATTACCCCCCCCCCCCATGAAACTTAGTGATTTTACAGTATTTCTTCTTTAATTTCTGATCTAATGTTATGTATATGTTTTAAGTCTTCTTTCAGTGTTCTGTATATTTTTATGTATTTATTTTTTAGTGTTCTCTACATTTTACGTGTTAATTTTTCAGTGTTCTGTATATTTTTATGTGTTTATTTTTCAGTGTTCTGTATGTTTTAATGTGTTTATTTTTCAGTGTTCTGTATATTTTACGTGTTTTTTTTTTTCAGTGTTCTGTATATTTTACGTATTTCATGGCCTGCTGCGAGAGAAGAAGTACGAGTTATACGTCCTGATACTGGCTATTCTTGTTGTACTGGTGTACTGTGTCGTGGAGTACATCGTCAATGTCGACGGACGGAGCACACTCAAACTGGTAAAGAGTAGTCTATAAATAGATGTCCATTGAGAGAGAGAGGGGTCCGATCTAATTAAAAATAGATGCTATATCTGCTCGCATACTAGCTACACTACATGTAACATCTAACAACATCCCATAGATCGAGGGTCACATCAGAGATCAAATTCTATCTAACCAATCAAATCGTCTCCTGCAAAATCATTGATGGTTGAAGCAAATTATTCGAGAGTTGTTCTGACTTTGATCTCTGACATAACCCTCTTTGGGATGTTGTTTGATGCCAGCAGATCTAACATCTAAATTCAATTTGATTAGAGAGGGTCAGTCCTGTAATGTTTCTTATATTTAAATTATATAACAGATGACAACCAATTATTGCAATCTCCAAGCATGCAATAACTAAAAATCCACCTCCAAATAAGTACACAGTACAGATTCTATTACCTAAGTGGCAGTATATCCTCTTTATTTTGTGTATTCTGGTGTTGTTTATAATCAGCTGTTTATGCCTGACACAGGTGCGGATGATTCTAGCCATTGTCCTGGCTCCCCCGAATATCGTCCTGGCCTGGTCAGTAGCCAGACACTTTGGTTATCTAACTTTCAGAATCGTCGGAGCATCGGAATACCTTCAGCGTAAGTCTGATTAACACAATTTACAGTTAATTTAAAGGGTACAGCTAAAGCAATGGCCATATTGAAATATTACAGTATTTATTTATCCATGTTTATATAAAATACATGGTTACTGTCTTGAAAAATAAGCGATATTTGGGCGAGGGTAAGAAAACGTGATAGAGGGCGAGGCTTGCCGAGCCCTCTTACGTTTTCGACCCGAGCCCAAATATCGCTTATATTTCAAGACAGTTATGATGTATTTTGTTTATCCTGCAACATTTTCTTTTCATTTGACCGTCCAAAAACTAGCTGTTTTCGACAGGTTTAGGCACATCTCTGCAGTTGAACAATGACGCCATGGCGTAAACATTGCAATATACATGATGTCACAATGCTTTTAGAACGTCCGAACACATGCACGAGGCTTTATTAGGGCAGTGACCGGATAAAGCTTTGGTTTATTGGGTTACCTTTATTAGGTCAATGCAAGGGGTAGTTGCAGGATAAAATATTAAACAAGTTTAATTTGGTCTGTGACTCTACCACATACATGCATAGTTGCATACATACAGATATTTTGAGGAAAATTATATGTTGTTATACATGTTAAAAGCCTAGATTACTACGTGTTAATTGATCAAACGGAATTGGAAAATGCATGGTCATTTTTTTTTGCATTTTCTGGAAATTTATTGGAGATTTACTAAGTTTCCCTATATAATATTGACGTTAAAGATGAAGTTTGAAGAATTCTTGTAGGTATTTTATGTTTCTTAGAGAATTAAAAGAAATTTTTGTGAGCATTTTCTATCACTTTTTCTCGTATCTGATAACCAGTGAATTTTGTATAAAATATATATATGTTATGCATCTCCCACTTATAACATTTTTTTTTCAGATCTATACAAACAAGCCTCTATTTTCTCATCAATGTTAAAGTTTGACATACAAGTGACTGTAAGTGAGATGGGACTAAAAATAGCTATAACTTATTCATGAATTTTAACAAATGTATCATTTTAAAAAAATCAAAAATTTTAGAGGTCTAAAATGTTTTTTTTAAAAAAATCAAAATGTTATATGTACATGTAGGAATTTTACTCAATCACATTTCTTAAATTTGCAGGCAAGTTTTGTGATTTTGGTTTTGAAAGACGGAACAAAACTTGATGTGTTCCAGCAGGTGGCGCTGTCTGTGGGTCTGCCGTACTCCGTGTTGTGGAACATCTTTGGTTGGTTCACTGTAAGTTAACTGGTTTCCATCAGTAGGAATCATATGAAATGAATACACTCTCTTCATATGTAAATTTTAGCATATATCATGTTCTCTTTTTAATTTTGCTTAATGATAATGAAACAATTTGAATTTAAGGTAAAGATCCATACCATCCTATAGAAATAACGGAACTACAGATTTTGTTGAAACTTTTCAGAATCTTAACTGAGTATTTGTCCTTTCCAGATCAGTGTAAATTTTGGGGTCAACCGGGCCTCCTTTTGATAGGATTGTTACTAAAAATAGACATTGTCTCGTGAATGACGGAAATGCGGAAATTAAGATATTTATTCTAGCTTTCTAAAATTAAAAGCAAAAGAATTTTTTTAACATATGAATCATAGAGAAAATATGCTTGTTTAAATGTTTAATTATTTTTTTTAATCTGCTGATCCACCTAATATTACTTTCTAGGGCGAATTAAACATATTTAGCTCAAAATTATAAAGTTCATTACTAGTAAAAATAAATTGCTGCTTGATATTCTGACTACAGATTTCTTTTTAAAATTAACACGTTATTTTCCAATGTTCTCTGCCTTATATGGCATAAAAATTAAGTGGGGCAGCGGGCATCAAACAAGAAAATTTCACATTTTTAAACCAAATTTGCTGAAAAATGATAATTTGAAAAATCTTTTTAACATCTATACTTTTAGGATTTGGGTGTAAAAATCGCTTTAGATATTTGAAACTATCGATAATAGAACTGTAATAAGTATGGTTTAAATCATAAGTTGAATATTTAATGCATAGACGGCCAAAAATTCGTTTTCACGATTCACAAGCATAATAGTAATCGGGTTCAATCTTCGGAATATTCTATAAACCGTTAATGCGCACGTGTGACGTTGTGACGGAAGTGAAAGAAGAAAATACTTTCAGTCTCAACATGGGTAGTTTGGATGCGATTTAGTTGATTAAAAATTTAGAGAAGTGGCACGTTTTACTACTTTTTGTGTCTATGTAATACATTTCTCGCTATTCATAGATACAAATAAGTGGTTTGTTTGCCACATCTTTTTAACGTCTGGTTTCTGATCTCAGGAAATGCTCGGACCTGTCCAAGTAAGGTTCAACGTTGTTTATCATGTTTTTATTCATACACCATATAAAATAGATCAAATTAATGTACGCGGAGATGAATATGTTCAGTGTTTCTACTTTGTAATGTTTGTTTGTTTAAAACACCGTGCTTACAGGCGATCATATCCTTGGAAGGCAGAGATCCCCTTCTTAAGCTAGGGACACTCTAGCACTGAATAATCGAGGTTTTCCGTACATAACTCAAATTCGTTTAATAAATTCAAGCTCCATAGTTGATGACTAGAATTGCATTGAATGCATCATTACTAAAGCTCGTCATTTAATTGGTAAAATGTGAAGTAATTTATGTATTTTTAAAATCAATAAGGTTTTGTAAATATATGAAAGAGTTCATAATTAAAAGGGATAAGCAAGTCAAACAATAAAAAAATAGTTGTTTTATGTACTCTGACTGAGCTGTCAAAATCACCCTTACACAATAATTTTTGTCAGCACTTATATTTTTTTTCTCGTTTCCATAGTATAATTTCTATAGGATGCTTTTTGATTGAAATTTTCATGGCGGATGTAGTGGTGAGTGTGTGTGTTCCCATGGACATTGCAGAATTATTAAATGTACATAATATGGAACCTAGCAGTACAATTATTCTCTGCGATCCTTGGACTTTTAGTAAGACATAGTATTCTCGGCACTAGTGTCTTTCAAATGGCAAATAAATTTTCATTGGTTAAAAAATTAATAACATCAGGTACTTTTAATCATTGTTGACAATCATTAGACAACTTACCGGTAATCTTACTTTCTTATATGTCCTGAATTTCTATCCCGGCCACATATATTTCAACGATGAATGAAAGCTGTGTAAATTTTAGAGGCTAAATACATAACATCAAGAATATCCCGCCTTACTGAAAGTCCTAAGATAACAGTGAATTTTACTAAAAGTGACCTTGGATGGCAGGACCCCTCCTTGGAAAAACTGATCTATGCAAAATTGGTATGAAAAGTCATTGGTATGATGCTTTAAAAGTCAACAACTCCCTGAGTAAATAGAATGTTCTATGTTAAAGTGATATTTTGATATGGATCCAGTGAGCATTTGTTCCATGAGTTTTGACACAGATTCTCAAACCTGAAATTGTCTGAGCTGATGAACATCGTTATAGGTACTGAATATTTAATTTGTATGTATACTTGTATATTAAAAGTACCTGAGGAATAATACATGCATTATGAACTTGGTCTAGTTTTAAAAAAAAAACTCTTTTCTGTTGCTCTGTGCCTAAAATAAAAACATTTAATCAAGACATCCAAGATGGTTCAATTTGATTTGTATTGGAGTTTAGGCAGTTCAATTATATTTCTTTAAAATTGTATTCTAATAATGAAATTTAAAAAAAAGATTTTTTTCTTTCCAGCTTTTTATCATGCTACATGACACAGCACAAAGTCCTAACTCATAAGTTTGGGAAGGACTCTTATTCATTTGGGGGGAAAAAGGGTTTTATACAAGTTTTGCATGCTGGTCCAATACATTTGGGTTTTTTGGGAAATGTGTTGCTTAGTGCATATTGATGTTAAAATAGATAAATGTGTAGGTGTATAATATTATTAAGCTCAATATGATATCAAAAAACTATTTATGTAGGAAAAGAAAAACTGAATAATCACTGGGAAAGTTATGCTATTTTTTTTTAAACAAGTATCTTGATAAACCAAGTTTTAAAATCAACAAAAAAAAAAAAACTTATATAATTGTCTCCCCTTTCACTGAAAGTGGGGATACTAAATTTAGGTCTGTGCATCTGTCCGTGTGTCTTTCTGTCTGTCTGTAACACTTTCAAGAAGCCTTTGCATTGAAATATTACACAGCAACTCTCTGTGGGTTTAGGGAGACCCTTATTGATAAGTGATCAAAGGGTCAAGGTAATTATGCAATAAATTCTGTATGTTGGAAAATTGATTTGTTTTTGAAAAAAAAAAAAACTGTCATAACTTTTATGAGACAGTATTAATAATTTTTCATTCAAATAAAAAACTACAATCTTGACATAAATCCATAAAAAACTAAACTGAAACTGGTTATCTTTGTTTTTTAAAGATTAATGCATGATTAAACCATGCACGAACAACCAAATTGTATAACTTTGACATTGTAAGCACTCGGCCTAACTAACAGAGTTGATTTTGTGAAATTTGGATTGAAATTTTATCCTTTTCCATTCCTTTTTATATCACCCTCTATGATCTCATAGGCATTCCTATTTATCATCTTATACATGATTCCCTTTTTTGTTACTGTCATATTGTTGTTTGTGGGTTTAAGTCTAACTATCATTACAGTAATCATGGTAATGCAAAAATTGCACATTATCATTTGCGACTGATATCTATTGCTATACTATTCACGGGTGCTTGAAAAAAAATATCCCCCTTCCCCATCTGATTGACCCCTTGGTCTGTTCGACGTATGTTTTTCTCATTTATTATACATAATGTATATACCGTAGATGAGAAATATGTAATTTTATCATCAGTTTGGAAATTGGCTCTAGCAAACACATAACAAGAGGCCCAAAAGGTTCGAAAATGGTTATGTACTATGTACAAGTATATAAGCAAACGATAATGACTTTCGACAAAAGAAAACCATTTATTTGTTACTCTGTATTTTTTCAACTTCCAGAGAATAAAGGACACCTGTCAGTCTAATGACATGTGCAGCAATACACTATACTGTATACCCAAAGCACTACAAATGATAGCTAAAGATTATTGGGCACTAGCTTTTAAAAAAAATTTTTCCAAATTTTCAGCATATATGTCACATATTATGTGATTAAGGAATTTTTTGTCAATGTATCAATGTTTTCCCACTTAAATGAAATATTCTGGGTTTTTTTTTATCAATAATTATTTTATGTTTCAGTGCAAGGATATACCAAATAACAGAGCATTAATATTTGTGCAGTAACTGTTTTATGTATGATATATGTTTTGTTTCAGTTAACAAAATGCCTCAAAGGTTCATAAAATTTATTCAGAATTCAACTTTCAAGGGTCTGGAGCAGACTTCATACATTCTCTTTAGACATTTTGTGAAAGCTACACAAAATAAAAATAAAAAATAATTCATGTAGGTTCACAACTTCAGGTAATATAAATCAAAAAATTCCAAGAAACTTATGTAGATTCATAGGTAAACATTAAAAAATTAACCCGGGCATTCAAAACTTATATTTTAGCTTCTACTGAATTCTTTTACACCATCAATAGTTAAGCAACACATTATCAACTTGTTCTACTCAAATATCATACAAAATTTTGTTAAATTTAACTTTAAACTGACTTTCTAACAGCTTGTGGGTTTTTAAAACTAAAAATAGCATCGACTGCGATTGCAAAAGATAAAAAAAAATACTTTAATGCACAAAAAATGATTGCGTATAAAATGCAAACAAAATAATCTAATATTAGACAATTTCAATTATAAAACTTACATGGTTGCCACTATATAACAAGAATTTTTGTAAATTTTTGTGCATAAACCCCGTGCAACTTCCGGAAATGCCGTTATACAAACAAAAATGAAAATAAATAAAGATGGACATAAATTTTCCGGTTTAAACGAGTGTGGTAACATTACACTCCCCGTCGAATGAAATATCACCAATATTTAAACTAAAAAACA